AACAGGGGAGTGCTCTTGGACCCCAGACCGACAGTGGGGAGGCCAGCATGGGACTGATCTGGACCCCCCAAATGTGAGTGTCAGCTAGAAGGCCTGGGCAACCTATGGGGCCCTGAGCTGTGGATCAGTGTCTATCCCTGGTATACAAACTGTCTTCATGTGCCTATAGCACAAAGAGAGATGCTCTCTCAGCCTGGACTCTTAGGGGGAGTGCCTGGACCCTACCAAGAGTAAAATGACAGACTCTAGATATCCCCTATGGGGAAGGATTTGGCAATTGGGTGGGAGGGAGGGGGGAAGGGAAGTGCGGGAGGAGGGGAGGGAGAGGGAACTGGGATTGACATGTAAAACAAGCTATTTAAAATTAAAATAAAAATGATAAATAAAAAATGAATAAAAATAAAGAAAATTCTATGGAACTGGCAGTGGGGGTCTTGAGTTAGGAGGCCAGAAGAATGTTCTGGGAGAAATGACATTTAAACTGAGAAACAGTGATCAGCAATCAGTCTGGTGAGGTTCAGAGGAGGAAGGTGTCAATCTAGGCCATGTAAAGAAAAGGCCTAGATTCTTGTAGGGAATTAGGAAGAAATGAGGACAGGTATGTCACAACTGATAGTGTGTACCGAAGGTGGAGACGCAGACCTCACACAGAGACCATGTGGGCACTCACAAGTCATCTTAAAGACTGGGCACCTCTCACTGAGAGTAAAGCACAGGCAGCCAAAACTTCAACAAGAGGCTCGCATGTTCTGATCTTTTTCAACTTTTAGATGTAATTTTTTTATGAAGAGACTTTGTATCAGCACAGTCGATGGGTATAATAACATGACAATTTGATTTCTGACTTATAATTGGCCAGTGGCGATATTTTTCCAGAATGAGTCTGTGACCAAGTATGTGAAAGAGGATATGGTGTCCACATGGGGACCGAATGCCAGGAACAGAAAAGGAGGAAGGGCTCAGGGGTTGCTTCTTCTTCGTGGTTGTGACTAAGGCTGGCCCTGCCTTTGCATGTCTGCAGCAACAGAGCTGTAGGTTCACAGGCAATGCTGCTCCTCTCATCATCATCTTCCTTCCTATGCAGGGGAACCTGCTGTCTGTGGTCCATCTGGAAGCATCTCTACTCCACAGGATTGCTTGTGGAGATTTAACCATCTCTTTCAGGCATCACTGCCACTCCTCTCAGAATGATTCACAAATCTATCTTCCCTGACCTTGAGAAGATTTTCTATGGCTAATACCTATTTCTTTTGTTAATATGTCATATTATATTAACCTGTGTGAAATATACACATGTAGTTGCTTGGTATTGCAGGGCATATTTCACTAATTACTGGAAAATTACAGGCTGTCGCAACTGTCCTGTGTTTCAATAACATGCATATTTTTAGTTTATGTTTTGGGAGTTTTATAAATGAGGACTACATATAGATTACTCCTATATATCCTCCTATTTTCTCTGGTATCACACTTTCCAAAATTTGTGACCTCTTTAACTATTATTGTTATACCTACACACACACACACTCACACACATACACACACACACACACATATATATATATTTATGTATATCTTATTGAGTCCATTTAGTGATGCTCTTATGTGCATGTGTCCAGAGCTAATCACTAACATGCGTATGATTGACTGATGGACAACTTACAACGGAATGTCGTTGGAATCTGAAATGGCCCGCTTATATTGGGACTCATCACACTTTTCTCACTTTAATTGGTTTCTGATGTCTTTTGCATTTGTCAATATCACTATCTCCTGTTTCTCAGGTCCCCATAGTCGTCATGATCTTCAACAACAACTTATTTCTCACTAAAGATAGCAAATGAAATGGTTCCTCATCACTTAATGGACTACCAACATGCCATTAATTCTCCCTTCTACTAAGGTTATCATACTTAACTCACAGTAGGGTACTTCTTCCCATAGACAAGGTCCCATTGACAGTGCATCATCAGGAACATGGTGGCTTCTATGCGGCTCTTCTAGTCTACTTTATTTAGCAAATCTTTTCTCTGTTTATTTTTGCACTGAAATGTTTTTATTCTTTAGTGAAATGCACACTCCTGACCATTTTTGTTTGTGTTTTTTTTCCTTTTTGATTTTTAGAGACAGTGTTTCTCTGTGTAGCTTTGGAGTCTATCCTGGCACTCACCCTGTAGACCAGGCTGGTCTCGAACTCACAGAGATCCACCTGCCTCTGCCTCCTGAATGCTGGGATTAAAGGTGTGCACCTGGCCCAATATTATCTTTTAAGGTAAAAAATCCTTAAGAAGTTCATGTAGGCTATTGGGAAACAGGAATTAGTATAACAGAGCTAAACAACTTGGAATGAGTCTGTATTTTCTCCAAAATTCTTGGAAAATTTTATTAGCCTGTATTTTTTTTCCAATCTACCCACACAAATTCACAAACATCTGAGTGCAAAATGTTGTCTGACCTAGTGGTATTTGCTCCAAGTTGAATGTCTGAAATTCTATTCATGCTTCTCTATAAACCTAAAGTTCACTTTGCCTGCCTGTAGTTCCTCCTCATCTGAAGGGATTTCTGCATCATCTCAGATCAGAACAATATTATTTTTCCTTTCAAAATCCTGGAGGATTTCTCAACTTGCAGTTAACCTTCACTCTCTTAAATCTTTGTCTTTTCAGGTGTACATTCAGTGTCTCCTGCTCAGACAACAGACCAGTTAAGGGAAATGTCAAGTCTCTTGACACTTGGTCCTCAGCCTCCAGTATGATATACTGCTGATCGCAGTTGCGTAGTTGGTTATTTTGATGGTAGGACAGAGCAGAAAATAATACCTGTATGTCTTTGGTCTTACTCTCACTTGTGGAAGTGTAAGTTAAATAAACATCTTACCCTTGGATGTACCTTCCCCACAACATACAAACACAGCAGTGCTTGCGAGGTAAAAACAATCTGTCACTCTGGCTCTAGCTGTAAACGCTACCTTTTCTCCTCCAGATACCAGTAAGTTAGCTTCTATGAATGCCATTTAATAATAATATTAGAAGTAGATTTGGGAAGTAACAACAGAAGGGTTTAAGCTAGACATTCTCAGTTTAGATGAGAAATAATACAAGCTTTTAGAAAAGACACATAGTCATATTAAAAAAGTATAAGAAACATACATTTTAATATAAATCACATGATGCCACTTTACTTGCATGGTGTGTGTGTGTGTGTGTGTGTGTGTGTGTGTGTGTGTATAGGTACATGCTTTCCATTGTGAATATATATGTGGGTCAGAAGACAACTTAGGAGAATTGGTTCTGTCCTTCTGTAATGTGGTTCTTGGTTATTGAACTTGGGTATCTAGATTTGGTGGTAAACACTCTTCCACACTGAGCCATACTGCTGGCCCCTCACCTTGAGACAGGATCTCTATGTGTACCAGGAGCTTATTGACTTGGCTAGAATAGCTAACCAGCTCTTAAAATCCCCGTCTCTGTCCATTCTAGGCACATGTACTTCCGCTGGTTTTTTGAAAATATGTGTGCTGTGGATTACAACTCAGATCTTGCGATTGCCATGGGAACTCTGCCCACTGAACCGATTCCCTAGTCTCTCTCACATTACTTCTAAGCCTGTAAATAGCATGTTTTAAGACCTTGGAGATTGTGGCCCATCCCACTTCTTCATCTGGATCTCTCCCATCCACTCCCCTCACTCACCACATCCTGGCCACTGCAGCAGGCTCTTGGTTCCCTGGACTGCCTTGCCCCCATTCCTCTTGGCTTCCTGTGGCCACATCCTCTGCAGGACGGGCTTCCTGCTTCTTTCCTTCTTCGGCTCCCATTGTCCTTTGACTTTCCCCCTGATTTCTGGAGCGACTTGAGTCCCTGTGTTTTGTATTTCTGAATCCTCCACTGTGATTGTAAACATGTACAACTGTGAAATCATTTTTGTATCTGTTTTTCACCCAACTGTAGCATAGCACCCAAGTGCTAACATATCAGAAACTGTGCAAATACCATGCACTATAGGTGTTCAATGCTCAAAATAAAGCCAAGTGCATAATATGCTTAAACAATGGAACAAATGAACATTTTATGAGTAATTGTCTGATACAACTTTCGGAGACCAAATTTTCCTGCTATTCACATCCAGACCTTGTTCTAGCCTGAGTGGCTATGGACTATATTAGTGCATGTGTTTGCCATGCATGCACACAGTAGGTTTTATATGACCGTTTCTGCTTTCACAAAACAAGGCCAAATTCCATTTAAATGATTTAGTACAATATGGAAAAAATTTGTCTTATGTCTGCAATAATAGAACACATTAACTATTTTCAACGTTAACTTAAAAATAATATGTTTTGAGGTTAAAAACCCACAAAAACCCAACAAACACACACACACACACACACACACACACACACACAAAACAAAATAGTCTTACTGCTAGGAAATGTCCCTAGTGTTAAAAATCACCAAGGCATGATCATCAGTAAAGTGAAAATGTGGTTCCTTTTCCCTAGAGGCCCCAACACCCGGACAGCAAACCCAGGAGCTGTATCGCTGTCCTTTGGCTCTTGAGTTACCCTGTTGAATCAGACAACTGAAGAACAAATTGCAACCAACAGCAAAGAAGATCTTTCTGATGCCAAAACCTGACCTTTGAGAACCTCTGGCTTGAATATCGTTCTGTCAGACTGCAGAAAACTGACCATATTCAAAATGAATATTTCCACACAGTATCACTCCTATTGCTTCTACCAAGCAGCGTATGTACAAAACCCAGTTGCTTTTCCCAGTTCTATTTTGGAATAAGTCATTGACTAAAAGGAAGAGAAGAAATCTAATTCTATATGTTTTTGTACCAATGCTCAAAATCTTCTGCCTTTCATTTTACCACCTTATATCCCGCCTGTAACTTTACAAATGAATGTCATACTTTGAGGGAAGTTCAAACACACACCAAACTCCCAGCCAGAGCTGTATTTAGGTAGTATCGAGTCTCTCCTTTTAGCTACTGACCTGCACACTTCGAAAGCATCAGACTCATCATCATAGGCATCGGGAGGCTTCCGAGCAGAGGTATTCACCTGGAGCCCTGAGTCATCCATACACTCGCCCCCTTCTGTAGCTGCCAGGATTTCAGTATTCGAATCAGTTTCCGACAATCTTTTAGTAATTGGTTCTTTTTCCCTAAGTGTATGCAAGTGAGATTCTCTGTGGCAGTATCTGCCTTTACTCCCTGAATGGCTCCCTGGGGGTCTCTTCGCCTCCAAGGACCCTGGTGGTGGGAGAGAACTGCATCCTTGGTACCTTAGGACTTTTCCTCTACAAATGTCTAAAGAATGGCTCCCACATTCCATCAGCTCTGGGTGCTTTTCATCTTTGGATCCCAGCTCAACAAGTTCAAGTCTGTCTGGAGTGGAGGACCCAGCCAAGCTTCCACATGGTTTATTCTTATTTCTCCTTCTTCGAGACAGTCTGAATTTCACCTGAGCTCGTCTTTTTGCCTGAACCCAGTGAGTCTCATCTGTGGAGGATGAATCTGATGACTCCATATTAAGTTCTCTCCAGCCGGGACTTGAGATCTGGAGGTGAAAGTCCTTTCTTCTCGCCTTGGCTTGCTCTTCTGAATGCTCATATCTCTGAGAGACCCTTCTCCTCCTCCTAGGCTTCTGTTTTACTGGTTTATCACCAGATTCCTTTCTAGCATGGCTCAGCACCATGACAGGGGTGCAGTGCTCAAATGATTCTTCTGACATGTCATGCAAGATGGAAGATCTAGACAAGGCATCAGGCCAAGGGTGAGGAATGGGAATGAAAAGGAAAGTCATGGGAAAACAAAGAGAGAAAGAGAGAGAATGGTGAAAATGACAGCATGGCCAGAGGTTGGTAAATACAGACAAGCTGAAGGAAAGCTAAGCGGGGGTTGGAGCATGAGATCCACAGACAACATAAATCAACAGCAAGAGCCACCAGTTCTCAGGTCATTAAACAAAAATACAAAATACTGATCTAAGAAATATTGAATAAGATAATTTACCCAAGACTTACCTGCAGATGTCCTGAGTAGATGGACAGACAGACAACCTTGACTGGCTCCTGGGAGCTGTCCCTGTGGTTGGACTGCTTGCCTGGAGAAACAAGTTAGATAATTTGGCATCTTGATTAAGGTAATACATGGTTGATATCTTGCTTTTTTTCCACATATTTAAAAAATTGCAACAAATGTGGCTGCTGGTCATGTTGCTCATAATGCAGCTCATTGAATGTGGGAAGTCAGAGGACTTGTTTTGCAAAAGCAAAACTCATTTGAGGAACTTGAAACAGCTGATGTACTGTACTGCTTTGCTGTTGCTTCATTTGTGAGAGAGGAAGGTGATTCCACAAGTTTCTATTCTATTTACCACAAGCACTGGAGTGGAATAGCTCAATTTGCCTGGGAAACAAATGAGTATTTAAAGGTCCCAATGAAGCCAAGGGTTACAATGTCAAAATGTGAGAAGGGTCATGATAGGCTGGTAAGTGCAAATAGACAAATTGTCATGGGGTTGCTAGATATTACCTGGAGTTAGCAACAAGGCCCCATGAGATCATATATTTGAAAACATGCTAATATTTAAAAGACTGAAGCTACTGTTGTGAATTCATTATCGGAGTAAACAAACCCATTTTTCAAAACAACGTTAACCTTCCTTACATGTTTGTCCCTCCATCTGACATACTAAGTTTGGGGCTAAGAGCCTGAAATAATAGAGATGGTTAACACAAAGTTCAGTACATTTCACAAAATTCTTTCTTTTGAAATCCAACTGCTGTTGATTCCACTTGACTTTTTCACACTGTTACGTTTAATGCAGACAATGCTGATAAGTTAAAGCTTGGGTGCACTGGTGATTCAGTATTGTGCTTAAACTTAAACTGTGGCTTTATCTAATCTTTGCAATAATTTCACACATGGAAAATAATTGGCAGGTTTGAGTTATTTAATATCACTTCTGCATATTCAATTAGCACAATATGTGTTTGTAGTAAACACTATAATTATGTCTAAGTACGGTTGAGGACACTGAGAAATTGAAGTGGCTTTTTTTTTTGTTAAGACATAAATGAGTGTATCAAGAATCTGGCTTTGTCTTTTTGTGTTCTAATCACCAGAGATGCAGCCTCTCACCTTTGAACAAGAAAAATGAAACTAATGGCAGGTCCACATTCTGGCGTGACTGACTGAATCAGTAAAATACATACTTTGTCACTAAGAAAATATCACTAAGAGTAGAAAGATTTCAAATTTCAAAGTATTTCTCAAAACTCTTGTGTTAGAAATATGGGAATTGTCAAACACTTAGGGTTGTTTGATTCAGAAAATTCTAAACCAAGAGAAGAAAAACTGTGTAAGTATTCATAGTTGACTGAACACTGGCACTCTAAGGTCCCCAATCTGATCCCTGGATATTCTGTCTCTTTTTATCTTTCTTTCCCTCTCTCTGTCTCTCTGCCTCTCTCTCTCTCTGTCTCTGTCTCTGTCTCGGTCTCTCTCTCTGTCTCTGTCTCTGTCTCTCTCTCTCTCTCTCTCTCTCTCTCTCTCTCTCTCTCTCTCTCTTCTGGGGACTTATGTTCCCTTGAATTTGCTGTGCAGCCAAGAATTACCTTGAGTTTATGATCTACCTGTCTCTACCCCTCAAGTTCTTGGAGTATGCCACTACATTGGATTTCTAATCTCTAGATTTTGTGGATTTTTTCCTTCCATGGCAAAAGAGTCTTTATATACTTGATTAAGGTAGGGGTTTGGACATAGAGAGATTTTGCTGAAAATTCCCAGCAGGTTCAAGGCAATCATAGGACCCTATATGAGGACGCTGTGGAATTAAGATAGAGAAAATGAAGGATGGAGGAGAGGTCTTGCAGGAGGTCTGTGTGGGAAGGTAAAAGCTCTGAGCTTAGGAATTCTAGTGCCCTGGAGATGCTGGAAAAGGTTAGAAAATGCATCCCTCCCTTGTGTCTACAGAAGAATGTGAGCTTGTCAGCACCTTGATTTTATCACAGTGGGAACTGTGTTTGGCTTGTGATCACTAGAATTATAAGATATTAAGTTTGTGGATGATGTCATCTGCTAGTCTTATACCTTAGATCTTGTGGATGTCATGTTTTTCCTATTCTTTGGTTGACATTAAATTGGAGAGAGTTTGGCTAACATTAAAAGGCAAGTGGGGTTCACTAAAGAAGTGATGCAGACATTCCATGGAGTGGGTGAAACAGTGTGCTGAAAGGACAACATTGTGAACATGTCCTCAGCCCGACACATGTCTTCTGTGGACTTCTGATTCATACATTTCCAGCATCTCATGAATATTGTCTCTTCTGATCTTTGAGCATCTTTCAATATCAAAACGTTTTCCATGGTATTCAGTATCTGTACCAAGACTCCTTTCAGGTTACTATTTTTTCTTTCAAAATAACACCGTTTTGAGCTGCCAAGATGGCTTCATTGATAGAGGTATTTGCTGTCCGGCCTGATGACCTGAAGTTAATCATCTGTACCCATATGGTAGACAGAGAGCACGAGGTCCTGTAAATTGTTTTCTCACTCCCTCATATGTACTTTAGTATAGGCATGTCCCTATAGATAAATAAGCAATTAAAAAAGGCAATAGACTATTTAAATTCATAAAAATAACGTCTCTGCATTCTTTTAACAGGCATGCAGGAACATTTATAAACTGTATTTCTGTTCATTAACCAATAACGGTAAGTTTCCTTAGATTTGTATCTTATACCTCTCACATATCCATAGTGATTAGCAGGGATTTCTGAACAGACTAGGCACTGAGTGAAGATTATTTTTGAATATTAATTCTTAATCACTTTTAAAAAATGAACAATGCCCCAAGTGTGCTCAAATTGCTGTTGATCTTATCATGGTGAGCACAGGCATGCGTGGGTCTCAAGCTGTGTAAAGATGACGAAAGGCATAATAATCATAAACTCATTTTCTAATCTCACATGTCTGCACAATACATGTTGTATTAGGGGAAATATTTATCATTGAATAAATACATGAAACAGGAAAAACACATAGCTTTCCTTTGTAGAGTGTTTGGGTCCACAGTGACACAATTTCATTACTCGGAAACAGTCCATTGTTCCATAAAGTACACCCAGATAGCTCAAACCGAAGATTACTTTATCCATGATCAGCTGGTTATCTCAACAGAAGATAACATCTGTGTTCTTAAGTATCTCCTGAGCTCACCTACATGCTGGCTGCTTCCCACCCACAGCCTGTCCCTTTCTCCTCCTCTGCTGTTGGTCTCTTCTGGTTCTCGTCTTTCTTGACAGGAACCTGAAAGTGTACAATAACTTAATATTCCAGTGAGTAACTCCTAGATGAGGGTCAGTGGATAAATGTGTCTCCTCTCTGCAGAAGTGTCAGTTCTAGGGAGTTCCATGGTGATTCTAGAAGTTTCAACAGGTTTCTAGCTGATTAAAAGCTACTTTCCCTCTACTACTCTTAATGTGTGCACTGGGGCGTCTTTATTCTCTGTCTTACATTTTCCATGTCTTGGTTTTTGTTGTCATTTGATTGTCTAGTTTATAAAAGGCTTCCTGCAGCCCACTAAGAGCATCTAGGTGAGACTGTGTCTGCAGCCCACCAAGAGCATTTAGGTGAGACTGAGGTTAGGATCTGTTAACTCCTTTCATAGAAACTGAGAGAAAATGAACTCTAGTTTATTTTACTTTTGACTAATTTACTCAGGAAACATGAACTAATGGCCCACATAATACAATAGGTACCGCGAAACTAAGAAACAGCATCTAACGGATTTCTGGTTTCCGGGAGATGTGTATAATATGTGATCTATAGAACCTGCTGGCACGTAGTCTGATGAAGACAGGTGGCTACCATAGAGTAGGAAGGGGTTTAAAGTTCCTAGAGTAGCCGATACTTAAACTAGAAAGGAATAATGAGAATAAAGTTGAAGGAGCTGTGCAGAGAGGGATGAGCATGTAAGTGTGTAAAGAGCGAAGGTGTGACACTCAGAAATTACTAGAATATGTAGGAGGCATGGGAAGACCTGAGCTGTTAGACTGGAATTAAACTAAGAAGGCATGTATGTATGTTTGCATCTATCTATCTGTCTGTCTGTCTATCTATCTACCTATCTAGTCTGTATGTAATCTATTATCTATTACTTATGTATCATCTATCATCTTTTATCTATTTAATTTACCAATTTATTAATTATTTAGTACCTATTTATATTTCTGTTGTCTCATTACTGTTATATATCCCTTAGTTTGTATAAAGCTGCATTTTGAGTAAATGAGAAATGGTAGCTTATTAAAGAGCGGTGTTAGAAACACAGTAAGTCACTTGAAAAACTGTAAACCCAGTCAATCTTATAAATTGTGCTAGCTTAGGTGGATAAAAGACTTGGGTATAATAAAATCATAAATATACATGAAAGAAACATAGTTATGTATATTTTAATATTGTGGAATTATTTATAAGAATATGAAACAAAATGGGAAAACAAATAAACACAAGGATTTAAAAAATAATAACATCTAATTTACAACAAAGAAACACACACTTAAATAGCAACACAGACATAGGTGAAGGGCACAGGAAATTTGCCACATTTTATAACACATAAGTAGTCAAATGGCTAATTTATGTAAGTCAGAGGTCTGCCACATAAATTTCCATTAAGAAAAGTGCATAAGGCACACAGATGCGTAGCTCACACACAAAGAACTATGATAGCCAAGAACCATGCTTATAATAATCTCAGTTTCTACAACAAACAAATGCAAAGTGAATTAACAGTGGTCTGTACTTTGACTGATCAAATCAGTACATTCAAAAATACTAATCATCTTTACCCAGTGCTGTTAAGGCATGAAAATCTAACACTGCCATAAACCTTTGAAGTGATCTGACATTTTAAAAGGTTCTATTTACTTTTTTTTTGTTTTTTCGAGACAGGGTTTCTCTATATTATTTTGGATGCTGTCCTGGAACTTTCTCTGTAGACCAGGCTGGCCCCAAACTCACAGATTCACCTGCCTCTGCCTCTGCTGGGATTAAAGGCTTGCGCCACCAATGTTCGGCTAAAAGGTTTTATTTTTA